ATCTTGTGTAGGCTGATATGAGATAAACTGACCAAATCTTCGAATAAAACTTTGACATACATGATTTACCTTCATCTCCCTTAGTTATATATCTTTTAATTTATTATTGAAATTTCAAATTTCAATTTTGAAGTTGCAAGAATACTAATTATTAAAAATCACAAGTCCTTCCATCTTCAGTTTCTTCACTAACAATAAATCATTAGCAAAACTAAGTCAGCTGTTATAAACTTTAGAAATATTGCTGTGCCTTATCAATACAGTCTTTTGAAATATTAAAGAAACTATATCTATAGGTACTATAAAAAATTTTAAACAAATAATTTAGCATCAAAGACAGCAGACAAAAACTAATATGATTATCAAAGCATCAAGGACTAAAAAATGTAATAGCAAATACAGTATATGTTTCATTGCATCTCTGATTCTACTCTATAAAAATATCAACAAACAACTTAATATACAAACCAGTTCTTCCATCGTCCATTGCCTTTACATTTTCACACTTACCATTAAGTAAACATAGCAACAGATATTTAATTGATTTTAGAAACAATAGAACACTGTGTACTGCTTATAGTTTATGATATTTCCTTGGTTTAATTTAATCAGCGGTGTGGCAAAACACAAATAATAAATGTATTAAATTAAGTAAATGTGAACTGAAAGCTATGTTAAGATAAAATAAGAGTATTTTGTATTACCATTTGATAATTAACTATGGTTACACATATACAACAGATTTTGGAAAACAAAAAATAACGTACAATTTAGTCATTGATGATATCCTTTAGTTTAATTTAAGCATAGGTTTAGCAAAACACAATAAATTAATTTATCTAAATATACATATAAAAACAATGTGATGTGCAAGTTATGTTAACTTAATCTAACACACGTTTAACAGTTAGAATTTATTTAAAGTAGCCTCCAAATTTATACAAAACATCTATACATTGTAATTTTCCTACTGTTTCCATGAAAACATATCAATAACATTATTTGCATAACGACGCTTAAAACAACCCAAAGCAGAGCCGGAGTTGATACAGCAACGGTTATAGAATCTTTTTTTCTATAATCATTGACATAGTTTTAGAATAAATAATCCATGATAAAAGGTTAGATTAAAATAAACCTATCTCATAGTTATGGAAAATATTATATTTAATTTCTTTGTATCAGCTGTCTGAAATTGTAAAATATGCAGTTTAGCAGTTCTTCTTGTTTACATTTAAATGCCAAAGCAAATGTAACCAAACATTGTAAGTGTTCTCATCGAAGCCATGGAGACCAATCAATATTTACTTTTAAAATGTTAATCTCAGAACCTAAAGCCAAAGGGGCTAAGCCTACGGTCAGTATCGAAATGTGAATAGTCCTATAATGGTCCTTGGTATGGTTGCTATATTTTTGTAAAATTTAAGCCCAGTTGGTTCAGTAGATTTTGTACCTATTAGTAACACACATACAGTCAGACACCATTAGATTTTTATATTATAGTATAGATTTAAATAGAATTAGTTTAAACGAGTACTTAGGTTTGCTGCAACAGGGCGGGTAAAAAAGTGTTTGTTGTTATAAAATGTTAATACTGTAGTTTAGTAAGAAATGAATGTATTTTCCAAATTTGATCAAAATATGTTTGTAAACAAGCAAACTACAACAATTGACTTATTCTCGATAAGAATAACATGAGAATTTTAAATTTACTTTTTTTGGAATTTTCTCCGTAACCATTAGGCGCATAATAACGCTTCAATACTTCAATTGAAATCATTAAAACAAATTTCTGGAGTATTGAAACATGCTATTACATAGATTCCTAAAGTTTGCCGTAGTTTTTACGCTATACCTAAATTTAAATGTAATACCTTACATATACATTCTATTTTAGGTGACACAATGTAATTTTTGTAACATTTGGTGGTAAAAGAGGGTCGCGACGTTCTTTACTTGAACATGAATTACTTCACTACTTACGTTAATTTGTTGTAAAGGTAAACCTCTCTAACTAGTCCAGTCTAGAATTATTATTTTACTTTTGTCTTGTAAACACTATGCAGTGTTCATGTCTGATAAACGCAGATAAAAGTAAAATTCTCGCTTATCACGACTCCAGCAGTCTCAGTGATTCAAGTCCATCAAACGTCAACACTCAGTCACCCAGGCGAGGAGTTCAATCACGGTTGATGCAATGAGTTTTCTCTACGTAATTTTCCTTTCAGTGACTTTTTAAGCTTAGTAAAGCAGAATAATTGGTTGAACGAGGGAAAGGTTCATCATCAGGGGGGGGTGAAATATCATCTTTGATATTTCAATAATTATTATATTAAAATCGTTCTCACTTTCAGATCTAAAATAGTTCCTCGCAAAATCTTTAACCTTTACTGATACGTATAATGTTATAATATCTAAAATAGCTAATTATTTAACAGTGGTTTAGTAAAATCTTTGACTATACATCTCATATTACATTCAATTGACTAGTTACCACTAAACATTTTTAATATAACTTCTTAGCACATTTTGGTTTATTTGTCAGATTTGTTGGTTAGGCTTCTAATGAAAGAATATTGTGTGCTAACGAAAGACTAGTATGTGAAAATGGTGTTTCAATTCTGCAATAGTGTGTAAGTGTAGTGTTTGAATTGAAATATAGTGTGTTAAACATATTACTTAAACTAAAAGGCTAGTTTGTCAACATGGTGTTTGAATCATAAATTAGGGCGAGAATATAGTAATGGAAATAGAGGCTACTGTTTAAACTAAACAATATTTGTGAACACACCTTTTATTGTTCCTAAAGAAAGTGTTCCTCCGCACAACGTATTTTTACACCTTGAGTACTCTAAATTAAAATAGGTGTAAGAAACCATAGTATTAGTAATACATAGTTTTACGCTCTTAGTCGTAAAAACACTTGACATTTGGTTAATTTTACTCAAATTTTATTCTGAATGAATAAAACCCAGGTGTTAACTTTAATTAAACATCAAGTGTTGGCACACTGATCTCAAATTTATTAACTGAAGCCTTCAGATGTTAAGTTGGCAGCCGTGAGTGTCACCTGTCACAGTTTCAGTTGGCAGCATTGCCTCACTGGAGTGCTTCACCTGTAACTTTGTACACTTGACTGAAGTTAACTTATTAACTACATAAAACAAATGTCTTGTTTGTCGTCACCGGATAAATAAATACAATTCCCAGTCTGATATCTAGTAGATGTGGAGTTTTTAATTGGGATGTAGTATAATGTAACCTGATTTCAATGCAAATTTATGTTCCTTATTATAAAATCAAAAGTCCTGAGACGTCATTGTCATTTAGACTTTCTGTTTTACCCTTTCAGATTGTATAGGTAAATTCCAATCATAACTTAACTATAACAATACATGCAATTTTATAATTGTTGCATTTTTTTCGTTAACGTTGGTCGATTTTGCAGTAGCAGAAATGTTATGATCATGGGCATGTACCCTATTTACCTTAATTAATTATTTACCCTCAGGATGAGTTGTAGCTTTATCTGTCAACAGTAGTACAGCAGTACATAGATCTTAATGTGAGTAGCAAGCATAACTAACAAAAAACGCTATGATCTTCTTTGAATGAAATGTTTACAAGTAATTTGATTTTACCCACAATAAAAACTATGGTACATTTTATGGTTTTCTTTTTTAGAGGCACTCATTTTAGAGTAGCTTGCTGCCTCGAAATATTTAAACTGGTTGAATTGTTAGTTGTTTCTTTATTTAGTAGAAATATTTGGGATAATTAAAATATCGTATTATCTTTGCCAGTAATGGTAAAGTTATGCATTTTTCAATATTGTGTTTAGTTTTAAAGTGATCTTTTAAATAACATACTAACTATTAATCACCAAAGTTATGTATTTTTTCACTGTTTTCTTATTTTTCCAAGACCACGTTTTAAATATTTTTTTTAATTTTTGTGACGATTGAAGTCGATAAAGTTTCAGTGTGAACCCCCTAATAGATTAGTACGGAGACAATTTAGAGATTCTAACAAGAGGGTAATATTAACCCCTGAATTGTTATGATTGCCAACACTGTTCATGCTAATTGCCCGTTTACTGATGGTAAACACCAAGATCTGTGTAGATTACAAGGGTGTCTCCCTCAGGGTTGTCGTGGTTTTGCTACCCCCGAGGTCCGGCAACAGGTTGATAGTTAGCGAGTTAACAAGCAATAATTCAAACACTAGTGCAGTTGTAACTTTAGTTACGCTCCCAATTAGTAGCTAATGTTGTGGAGGATATAAATGCGGTTAAAATATGAAGAATCAATAAGCATTTGTGATGAATATTATTGTGAGGGTTTATTAAATATGAGTCGAATCTGATCAGTGTCAGGAAAAAATTCTGTATGTTAGTTAACTATAAACTATACGTAAAGCTGTCGTATAATGGGAAGGTTGGTGTGGTAAAATTAAAATATTTGGAATAAGATTACTAATTATACCAACTCCATTAGTTACCACCATACAACAATACTACCATGTCTCAAGACATTCAGTCGACCTTAAAGGTTTAATATTTTTGACAAAGAAATATCTAACAGTTAAGACTCATATCAGTGTATAAGTATAGAATAAATAAACGCCAATTTATTCTATGGTATAGGATAAGTGTGTTTGAAAGACAAGGCAAACTAAACCTCTCTTGGCCTGTGCGAATCATTGACCTTTAGCACACAGTGATTATTTAAATATCGTCCAAATAATTATTAATGCATAGACTACGTTTTTATTTTGGTCTAGGTTATGTTGAGATTTTTTACTGTCTTTTACTGATTCCAAACGAAATTTCATACAACTTTGTGGAAGACGCTATGTCTGTTAATTTAAATTAACAGCTTTCTACCGAATAACTTTAACGTATCTTTAAATCTCACCATTATATACTATGGTTAACACGCTTCAAAATCTTATTTGCTGTAAGTATATACTTTTGATTATTTATTTTTTATTTTTTGCAGACTCATGTTCCTTCCCGGCAGCTACATTCAAACTACTCTTTGGTAAGTGAACAATTTATAATCACTTTTACTATAATATCTCATCTTTTGAAAACGTTAAACAAAACTAACGGCGTTTAAAAACACAAGTACATTTATATTACTTCTCTGTGAGTACAGTATAAACCATAGACTTACTTAGAAAGGAAAGAGAATCAGCCATAGTCTAGGAGGATTAAATATTATGTATAGTTATACAACACTGTTGCTAACATAGAATATATTTATATATAATATAGGCTACATAAAGTATATGTGGACTCAGTTTTAATAACATCAATGTATTACAATAATATTTTCAATCAAAAACGAAGGCATTCATTAAGGTAACTAGAGTACATGCCCATGATCGTAATATTTACTTGTACAGTTCGCACATTCGTCAGTCTAGGAAACTAGAATTATAAATCAATTTTTAGCTAAATTTACCCATACTTGACAGCATATTTCTCTATTAATGGGTATTTTTAGTTCGAAAACAATTCATAGACGGGCCTATGTGATAGGAGATACCGGTGAAAAAACAGGAACAGCTGCGGTGGTATTTGTGGGTTCGGTGTATTAAACCCAAAGCAAACCATGAAGCAAACAAGGAATTTCATTACCTCTTCATTCCAGTGGTGTCGTTCTCATAGTTGTCGATTGTTGGTTAACTTTTTTTAAAATAAATATTTACTTTTCTCATTTATATGGAGCAGACCCTAGTGCAAATTGCGCTCAAATTTCATAGAGCTCAAAACCTTTTTTAGAGACAAAACTACTATGTCCTTAGTTATTGGGTGAAGAAAACTACTGCTAGTAATTTATACTGTAATAATTTAAAATCGTTGATTGTACCATAAAGGTCTTATAAATCAGGTTACAATAATGATAAAATAGCTTAGCTTGGGTCTAAAATCCATTTCCATGAACTGTCTCGTCTCTGGTTTTCTATCTGATTGTTGTTAAACATTTAACATAAAGATCTGCCGTTCAATTCATATTTAAAACCAATCAAGAAATTCTAGAAATAATTCAAACTTTACTGATCAAGACTTTAATTAAATTACCTTTTTAGTATCCATTCGTACCTCCGTTAGATTATTAGCTATAAAACTATAAAAATTACAGCCGTTCAAAGATTCAAAATGATACAAGAAATCTTTGAACCGATGTCCGTTTGAGTTCAAATTTGTGGCATTGTATTCTGCTAGTAAACGCCTTTAATTTGATGTACATATCAACCTATGCTCCTATTTAAAATTTCCTTCTGACTCCTTGCTTAACATATGACATATGACTCCCCATCATATGACAGGAAACTGACAGTTCTTTCAAAAAGTAGGTGTTTTGGTGCTGTGTTGATGTACCAGTTATTATTTATTTATCTGTTATCGTTCAGAACATATTAAACCCATGCGGGACTTTAATTACATCCTTTATCTATATATTAATTTGAAACTGTTTTTCTTTGTGACAGCTAATTTGAGAGAATGGCTGGGCGTAGAAAGTCGGTAGAGGTGTCTAAAGAAAGGGCTTGGTCTGTAGATGAGCCATCAAAAGAGAAACGTGGTAAATTCCCTTGGGGCTCTGCCCCAGTGGCCTTTAAATTCCCATCCCATGTTATTCTTATGGGGGAAAAATGGGTTTTTGTCACGGCTAATTTCAGAGAACGGCTGGGCGTAGAAACTTGGTAGGCGTCTCTAAAGAAAGGTCTTGGTCTGTAGATGAGCCATCAAAATAGAAACGAGGTCAATTCTCTTGGGGCTCTGCCCCAGATGCCTTTAAAGTCCCCTCAGCAGATTAGTTTACATTATGACCATATGTATAATTTTACACTACTTTTTAATGAAACAGCTGTTAATATTTAAATTGTGATTTAATGAATTTGTCAAAATGAAGTATTTGCAAAGGGTTTTTTTCTGATTTTAAAATCAATTTTCTTCTGCATCGTGTCATGTTTTGCAATATAATGTTGTAATGTTATAATGTGCAATCCAAATCAGTGGAAAATCCTAATATCACAGTAACTCTTAAAATTATTTCTTATGGAGTTAACTTATGTCTATTGTATGGGTTGGTTTCTGCCTTTTTTTACCACTTCTTGGAGATTGTAGGTAGGCGTGTTGCACGTAGATGATATTCTTTGGCGTATTGCATCTGTAGACGATACTTGGGTTGGTGTAATTATTACAATGGGAAAAAGCGAGAAATCCTGGACAATTTGATATAGGCCTACTAAAAATAAAACTGAATTAGAAGAAATAGAAATAATGTTTTTTTCTTAATTTATAATCGTTATTACCTAATGCGGCTATGAGTGGGAAACATTTGTAGAAAACTCTAAAAAACAAGATCAGCTTTTGAAAAAAAGATAAGATACAAACAATTTTCATTATATCTAACTGTTGTGTACATCGTGAGTATTTCCACAATCTTTGAGTACACTTTTATAAAGTCGTCGGAAATTATGACCGTTATTTGTTTTAAAATAACGCCTGTAATGCTTTCAATTGCTCGAATTCGAGCAACAGGTACACTAGCATTCTGTTGAATACGATAAGAATATTCCACTACGCTAATCGAAATATCGACGAACCTCAGTTTTGTGGATGTTTGTTGTGTAAATAACTCTTACTGGTGTGCGTTCTTAGATTGACAACTCGTACACACAACACTATAATGACAGAACCAATATTTGTCAGTTTTGACCGATACGATCGGATAACAACGTTGACATAGTCACTAACCGAACTTGTGATTTGTTTTTGTTTGTTTAATGTTTGTTGAAGTTGAATCTCTCCTAAGCAGGCGAGAATGTTAGTGGGTGTTGTGACTAATTTTTCAAAGATATTCTCTTCCTAGTTATTTTATTGGGATATTGCTGTGAAGGTAAACATTTGTATATCTGCCAAAAGCAAAGTTCTGTTTATCTAATTTTGTGTTGCCATTGTGAATGTTATGAAGGTGCTGTAGTAGAACATTATTTGTCTACAAATAAATATGCGTCTAGTAGCTATTTTTGTGTCTGAAATTTGGTAAGATTAATTTATTAACGAATGTTTACGACGTATAAATTAATCTTGCCAAAATCCAGACTCTTATCAATTATACATCGATGGGTGCAGTACAAGATTCATTACTCAACATTCGTCCGTTCGTGTTCACCATCCGTTCGTGTTCACCATCCGTTCGTGTTCACCATCCGTTCGCAAGCCCCATTGTCTTGTTAACAGACACAAACATTATAACTTATACCATTAATAAAAGGAGTATAGACATATGGTAGCCAAAATAAATAAAATTATAGGAGGAATACAAATTCGCCTATATGTCTACTTCTTTTAATCTCTGGTTATACGTATATAAAATTTAAACGAATAAGTTAGTGTTTTGTGCCTCGAAGGACATCAAAATGTAAAAGTAAATTGGTCCCGGGTTTTAGTATTACCGTGCCACCTACTGAATTTTTTAATTCCCTATATGGGAATTTCGATCAAATTAGATTATCTGGAAACAACGAACTGGTATTTTTTTGTGTTTTTACGCCAGTGGCATTTTTTACGTTTTGAAAGGTAACGGTCCAAAACCTGGTCATGTTACTATCATTATTAAGCGCCCTGGTGTTTCCTCCTTATTAGTAAATCCAAGCATTGCTTAAAATGCACATTCTATCATCAGAGAAAAGTATTCAACAGATTTGTATTCATATCGGCTTGTGGCATTACTTTAAATTGCAAGTCAACATATTTTGCATCAGCAGAAGATACCAACGATACCTATGCAAACGGTAGAAATGGGTTTGTGTGTCGAATTCTTATTACATTTGATAACAGACATTATTGCTTTTGGAGTCGCAGGGTGAAATTTGTTATAGATGTTGTTTTACCTGAATTGCCGCTGGGGTATATTCAGTCCTACAGACTTTCAAAGTTGCCATGCTATACTTATGGGAATTATAATATTAAATAGTTTTAATGATAACAATAAGAAAAACACGTTTGATTTTTTATTTCAAAATATTTGTTTTAACAAGTTATAATCTTTTAACTTACATTGCTGATATTCGAACTTTATAAACCTAATAGAAGCTCCAAACTATTTTGAAACGGGAATAAGACATAAACTTTCCAAAGCCAATCGTTGACAGTTTGATTAGATGAACGATAATGCTTAAAGAACTTACATACATACTTAATTAATGATGTACCTTTAGCTCAAGTTGGCATCCAAGCATAATTTCTTGAAACGAATTGTAGAACAGGCGACCAAAATGAACATGGTTTAAATTCCGCCGAACGTAACGGAAAATTGATTAAATGGATATTCAGCAAAACGAGGCTAAACACTCTAAACATTCCCAAACTAGGATTTGCCATATTACAAACAACAGCAAATATTTTACAATTACCCTGGCATTATCTGCAGTGTAAACAGATCCTAAACTGAGAGACAAATTGTTACAGTATTTACTTCCTAATTTATTGTCCGATTTTGTTGGATTTCACACGTATTCATCGCATAAATAAAACATATGCTAAAGTTACTTTGTGATCAATATGTGTTTAAGAGAAACACTTTTTAATTGAGGTTTAACTATGCGCTTCCTACTTATATTGAAAAATTGTTTTTTTTTCAATCGTACACTACATCGGGCTACTAAACGTTACTACGGGAAATTTGAAAAGGATAAATGTTAACCAATAAATTCAAACATTATTGTCATTACGTCTTTACATTACACACCTGCCTTGTTACTCACATAAGCAAAAATTAAGAAAAAATGAAAAATTGGTTCACAAGTACACATTTTACGCTAATGTAGTCGTAAATTTTGACAGTAAACCCAACCAGAAATTCGGCGGGCGCCAACCAGACCCAGCCTTCACATGATATACGCAAACATGAGCTCGCAACTCCAGTAAAGTTATAACTGCCAAGTGCGTTCTCCAGTTGGATCTGTTCAAACCCAACATCCCCGGGGGTATTAGGCTGATTCCACCCCTACCGTAAAGATCAACCCT